TATAACCTTTTCTTGACCTCAATCATATCAAATGAGCGATATTTTTTTTTATTTTTTATCAATATATATTTTCACAAATATGATATAATAAATATAATATACATAAAAATATAATATTTTGTTTCAATGACCGATATACATAAATCACTCATTGAAACAAATCAAACAACACTCGCATGATTACATTTTTTCTTACTGTATTAATATAGAATATTTACTCAAATTTTCACGTTATTGGCTCATTATACCAGTATCAAAGGATCAATCTAACCAAAAGTTTAAGTGGATGATATGATTGAGGTCAAGAAAGGGTTATATGTTCTAGCATAATATTCCAAACAAGAACATAAAGAAGAATAATACAAATGCTAAAATCACAAAACATGATTAAAAGAGAGTGTGTGATAACTAGTATAAAGCCTAATAATGGTGAAAGGATAACAAACGAATTAAAGGAATTACTAACCAATTTTGGAAATGAATAATTAAAGAAACTTTAAACCAGAGAATCTCTAATCCAGTAATCCCTATAGGTATAATTAACCTCAATTCATGTGGCATTAATAGGAGTCAGAAGATCAATGTTGCCAAGAATAATTGGCGAACATTGTTTTCTTTTACCTTTTTATATATACAAGCTAAGAGGTACATGCCATGTGGTACAATATAAAATTCTTATATCATATATGTGTAGCGTGTTCCTTTTAATGTGTGTACGATTAAAGAGAGTAGTTTTTTTTAAACTAAATAAAACGGTTTTGGTACGTAATATATATGCTCTTTATTTTGTTTTTGTTAAAAATCAATTTTCATTAGTGGTTATTTTTTTCTATGCGGCATAAATAGATGTTTAAGAAGTTTTCTTTTTTTTTTTTTAAAAAAAAAAAACATGAATAAGGGGTAGTTATTAATCTAATTATAATTAAAAAGCAAATATGGTCTTATAGATTTTGAGTAATTTGAAGAGATTTATTAAGAAAAAAAAAGTTCGTCAAATGTTAGGATAAACATGCATATGTTAGCAGTTAGCAATGATAACTGCTTTTTAACGTGGAAGAATTATGATGAAGGCATAGAGCAGTTTTTTTTTATTAAAATAAAATAATTGTTTTTTTTAGAAAAAAAATAAAAGAGTAGTTATGATAGAGTAGTTTTTTTTTCAGGTGGTTCGGTAGGTATTTGCGGTAGTTCGAAGAGGTTCGGGTAGGTGCGAAATTAGTTGTCTTGAGTGGCGGAGGTGGTTGCAATGTTGGAGATGTGAGGCTAGGTTGTGATTTGCGGTGGTTAGGCAGGGTTGGTATGGTTTTCAGGGAGGGGGAAGGAGGGAAGGAGGGTTTCGCCGGTGGGGGATAGGCGTTGCCAATGGTAGGGTGGGGCTGGGTTAGGGTGTTAGGGGATTTTTTTTTCTTTTTCTTTTTCTTTTTCCTTTGTTTTATTATTTGAAAAAAAACAAAAAATTGACCTATAGAAACAGTTGTAGGTAAAAAGGATCATTTTGAGAAAATTAGGGTATAAGGTGAGATTATTTCTAGAATACGCAAAGTTAGGATTATTTTGAGCAGATGCGAGAAAGGTGAGATTATTCTTTTTAATTTTTCCTTTGCAAAAAATGGTAGAGTGAGAAAGTGTTACTAAATGCCACAATAGAATTACTTATGTCGCGGTATTGAATGACCTGTCTACCCTTACTTGTTTTTTGACAAATTTGTTATTTTTTAAGCCCATAAATTTACTAACTTTTTTAAGCCATAAATTTTACTAATTAAACAAGTATATTTGTTATTTTTAATAATTACTAAAAATTAATTAATACACATTAAACGATTTGCTTAAAAAAACAAAATTAAATGGTACTCGGTCGCATGTTATATGCGACTACACCACGGTATAGTCGCATGTTACATGCGACTATACCATGGTGTAGTCGCATATAGCATGCGACTATACCATGGTCTAGTCGCATATAGCATGCAATTATGTCGTGGTGTAGTCGCGTATCACATGCGACTATACCACGGTATAGTTGCCTGCTATATGCGACAATACTGTGGTGTAGTCGCATGTAACATGCGACCGGGTACAACGGAAATTGAAAAAAAAGTCCGACATATACTTGACTCGACGGGGCCGAAGGTTCGTCGTCCCCACCAAATGCCTCCAATATGAACGCAGACCGTCGTTGACTCATTTTATTGGACGGAAAGTACAATGTTAGTGGTCAACCATTGTGGAATCGGTCAAGTTTGTTGTTAAGGTGGAGCCGTGGTGGTGGACGGGTGAGTGGTGGTATGGGTGGTGGAGTTGATGGTCAAGGTGGAGTTAAGGCTTAAGTATGGTCAAGGTGGGACAAAGTTAGTAGTTAGTAATGGTTGGATTGTTATGTTATTTTCAAAATTATAAGGGGCATGAAAGTCTTTTAATACTATAACTTGAGTAATTTCATTGTGGCAAATAGCAATTCACGTAATAAAAGGAGGAAAAAACAACATTTACATGGAGTAGCTAATTTCGCTCAAATATTGTTGCAAATTGGAGGGAATTTTTTAATGTAGATTAGATAATTATTTTGAGACTAAATTTTGGCCATAAGGGTCAAACTTTCAAGGATGGAGGATGTATTGTTTTTGTAAAATTTATTGTCATTATAATTACCAGCTGTGCATTGCACATAATTTAATCTAATAATCTGCTAAAGAATTAATGATAATTCATAAATAAAATGATTTCTAAAAATGATGTGACTTATTTACGAACCTACCCAATATGAAACCAAACCCGCTATATATAACTTGAATGTGACCTGGCCCAATTACAAACTCGACCAAACATTAACCAATCGAACCGACCCACCTTGTTTTCTTGACCAACCCAACCTACTAGACAACCATTACAATTTGTGCAACCTTTAGTCTTCCTCTTTATCAAAATTTGAGAAGATGAGAAGATTCAGGATGCAAAGATTATTTTGATTTTGATAATCTAAGAAAATTCTTTGACTCTTGCAAGTTGCAACATATGGATTTTCTAAAAATATCAAGCATATTTTCATATGTATTCGGTTGAGCCCATGAACAACCCACATGTGAGCATTCTCTTGTCCCATACTAGAAACACTAAACACTGAAGGAGGAGTGTAGTGGTAATGAAATCCCACGTTGAAAGAATTCAAGAGTTACCACCACTATATAATAGTCCTAAAGCTGTCAATTCGGGTAAATGGATCGGGTTTGAGTCGGGTTAGTGTGGGTCGGGTCATCTCGGGTCGGGTCAGTACGAGTTAATGTCGGGACCTATGCGGGTCGGGTTCGGGTTGGGTCATGCTTGAGTCGGGTCATACATCTTATTGGATTTGGGTGGGGTTTAGGTCGGGTCAATAAAAGGTCGGGTTATATTCGGGTCGGGTGAAAAACAGGTCGGGTAACATTCGGGTTTTAATGGGTTTAAACGAGTTAGGGTCTTGTTCGGGTTCGAGTCGGGTTCGGTTCAAGTCAATTATTTGCGGGTTATAATCAGGTCGGGTCATTATCGGGTTCGTTTCAAGTCAATAATTTGCGGGTTATAATCACGTCGGGTCATTTCCTAGTCGGGTCATTCTCAGGTTCGAGTCGGGTTCGGTTCAAATCAATAAATTTTTTTTTGATTTTTTTTTAAAGCTCCAAATCAAATTGCATAATTTAAAACATTTAAAAATATATTAAAATAAACAAGTGAATACTAAAATTTGAAAAAACGGATCAATAAAAGGATTATAAGTAGTTATATGGAAGTTTATTTTGAAGATAAATTTAGAAAAAAATAAAAAACATTTGGCTGATTTAATTAGACAAAATCACTATCATCGATTCACCTCACTCACCTCATATAGCCTCAAATACGTTTAAATTCGGGTTAGTAATAGGTCGAGTTTAAATTCAGGTTAGTAATAGGTCGAGTTTAAATTCGGGTCGGGGCAATAACAAGTCGGGTTGAATTTGGGTCGGATCAATAACAAGTCGGGTTGATTTCGGGTCGGGTTTGTAACAGTTGGGTTTAAATTCGAGTCGGGTTAGGAACGGGTTGGGTTGACCTCGGGTCGGGTTAGTAACAGGTTGGGTTGAATTCGGGTTTTGACGGGTTAAATCGGGTTTGGGTCATTCTCGGGTTCGAGTCGGGTTCGGTTCAGGTCAATAATTTATGGGTCACATTCGGGTCAGGTCCTCTCTAGGTCGGGTTATGGTCGAGTTCGGATCTCAAATACTCGGGTCAACTCGTGTCTAGGGTTGGTTTCAGGTCGGGTTAGGTCGGGTTCGGGTCACCATTTTTTTCGGGTTCAGACGGGTTAGGGTTAGGGTTAGGGTCGGGTTAGGGTCGGTATTTCGGGTCGGGTCAGCTTTTGACAGCTCTATATAATACCAAGGGGCTACTCCCCTCATTGCCATATGGTTTTGAGGTGGAACCTCCTTGTGATGGACTTGCACTCTCCCTTGACGGGTGCGGCCCAGACCCGTATTTAACATATTCTCTTAATTTTTAAACCACTTCTATTTAGTATGACTCAATCACAATTCAATGAATACCTTATTTTGTAAATCCTACATCTGCATCTTCAATAAAATTACAATAAATTATCAAACGGCTATATATCACCTAAAGCATTGTAAAAAGATCAAAACACCAGTGTCAATGCTATAAACATCGTATACTATTGCTTAGTCATGTTATTCATGTACTATATATATACTCATAGAATCGCGCAAATAAAATTAAATAATATACCAAACAACGTTAGTAAAGTTGTTGACCCAATCGATCGGCCAAGTTTATCATTGGGGCCCTTTGCGCCTTAGCACACCTCGCGCCTTTTAATACAATTGTTTCTGACAATGCGAAAAGACAACAGTATCTATAGGATGAACTCCTAATATGTTCAGAATCTAGGATTTTGTTTCAGACCATGTACCTTGTGTGTTGTGACCCATTTGTTGCACACTCATGGTTAAAATTATGCTTTGTCGTAGAAATTGCAAAGACTGATGCTTATGCACCTTCCTGTCTAACTAGTACAGATACTGTAAACAGATCAGACATGCTTTGCAGCTTCCAATACAGTTGCATTACATGAAATGTGCACAAATTGGCACCCTTGATGCCCCTAATGTATTTAAGCTTAGTTAGCTCATTTACAAAACTATGTCGTATCTCCAAGAGAAACCTATGTTCAGCTGGAAAGCTGAACTATTACATGGTCACTGGATCAATAGGATCCTGCACAACATTTGCGCATTGCGCAGCCACAATAAAGATTTCCTAGATAAACTAATGGCAGTTTTTGAGCCTTTTATACATTAACAAAACATAAAACTCATGCAAAGTACAATGACAGCAGCAGGAAGATCAAGAACCGCCTTCAGATATCCCCGAAGAACCAGCAATATCTTCAATTCTCATGTTAAGTGCCATTTCTTCGACCAGCTTTCCCTGGTCAGCTGACTCATTAACAGTCTTATCCAATCTTTTTAACCATCCATCATAGTCAACTGGATATGGGGTCCCACATAGGGTGTCTACGTAATCAGCAAACGCCTTCAGAATAGCAGAAACTTCACCAAGGTGCCTCTGAATGTGTCTCTTTGCCCAGCTCCTCTGCCTCCATTGCAGAGCAGATTCTATTGAATCTTGTTGTTGCATATTTCCTCCACACAAGAAGTACAGTAAATAAACAAGGCTCTCCACATCAGACGAAGGGCAAAGTTTCCCGTGCTGAAGAGTATGGGATGACGAAAAAAATAAGTTCATTGCAGGGCCATCTCTTTCCTCCAAAACAGCCCGTCCCCATGATACTGGGACGTAAAAGAAGCTACTGCTTGAGCCCTGAGCATCACTAACACGTACCACATTCTCCGGACAAATGTCTCCATGCTGAACATTTGCTATCTTCGCACTTCTCAAAGCTGCTAAACAATCTCTGCAGCAACGGATCACCTCCTCGCAGGAAAATGGCCCATCTTGAGAAACAATGGATGAAACAGGCTCGCCAATGGGAAAAATTACAAGAACCGGTGTTCCACACAATGGATGATCACATTTCTCATTTGGGTTTTTTTTCTTACAACTACCCGGATGCAACATTTTGCCAGAGGCCACAATTTCAGGCAAATATTTGCTTGATATCCCGGCCTGCCTCAAGACATTTAGAACTTTGGTTTGCCTTTGTACTTGATACCATAAACTCATATCTTCCCATGATGGTTCTAATCTAGATGGATGAGCACCCACATATAAAGTCAACAACTGTGTGGGATTTTCTAGAGATAAAGCACTATAGCAAAAGGATTTTTCATCAAACAATGGCTCGTGGATTTGAAAACTCTTTTCACCTTGCTGCTGATCTTCAACATGTATAATGTCACCCTCTTGTAGCATCAGGTGTGATGCTTGATGCATAATTGCTGGATTAACTTCATGCTCAAGCTCTACAATTTCTCTTTCTCCTTGTGCATAGTCATGAGAGGGATGCTTACCCGTTTCAGTCTCCAAAAGATGACACTCAATTCTTCTTTTCTGAAGTCGGAGGCTGTGATCTGATGCTAGTGAGGCTATTGATTTTCTTGGCGAACCACCAAATTGGACAATAGAGTAGAAAGTTGCCAAGAGAAGCTGCAGAGTTCCCAAGTCCCCCCAGTTGGCATTTCCTAGCTTATTCCATATTCTGTCCACTGTAGAAACACTGACCTCTGAATAAGTCTTCATCCATTCCGCCACTGCCTGATATGGATTATCCACATTCAGCTCAAGATGACAAACATCACCAGTTAGCTTCACCACTGCTCCAAACTTAGAATCCATAACCATAATGTAAACAGAATTATCATTGAACTCGCAACGTTTGCTTAGCCTCCTTGAAATAAGTATATGAAAACCATAGAAAAGGGCTTCACTTAGTGCATTCAGTGAGATCCCCAATTTATTTCCCAGCATTATATCAGGTTTGAATAACGATAATTGAACCACTTGGTCCCAATGGATATTTACATCATTTCCGTCTCTTGCAATTAAAGCTGCACCACAAAGCTCTGCAACTTTTCCCCTTGATATCGCTTTATCTAGAGAATAGAACCTTGATCGAGGATGACGAGCACAAGACACAACAAATGGCGAAGGGGAACTCTTATGCCAAAAGGTACGCCATAATCCATCAGCCATGGTGTGGAGGAAATCTTCGAGAGCAAAATATTCCTCTTCTTTTAAATCACTAGAGCAGTATAAGGAAGTTGGCATTCGAAAAAGTTGCTGAAAAAAGGTTCCCTCTAAAGCATAGTCAAGCTGACGGAGTTCATCAATCTGGAAAGGAGAGTCAAACGAATATTCATGGTTGGAATCTGTAAGAGAGTTTTCCAAAATCCAATCTTCTAGGCTCTGAATAAAAAGTTCGGAGTCAACTAAGTTTCTTGCGCAGTCTTTGAGTGATTTGTAGGCTCTTTTGGAGATAGGAGCTAACTTGTTAAGAGATGACAAGCCAGAAGAACCCTTGCAGACCCCTGAAAGACATTAGCAATGCATATTGGAGATTAGGTAGTTATAATTAAGAGGACTGAATAAAATTTGAAGTCTTCATTGATGCAGGGTAAGAGAACATGAAATTACCAGTTTTTGGTTTTCTAAAACTTTCGTCGAAAGTTTGTGCTGAGTACAGGTCCAGATCATTATGATGAAACCCTGAGGCATGTCACCTATTTAGAAACCAAAAATGAAATATGTAACTGTTGAAAGATAAAAGTAACTTTGCTACTTACCAGTGTTGGATTTCCTGAAACTTCCATCCACATCATGTCCAGGTGAAGAGTCATTTTCTCCGAATACTGCAAGATGCCCACCATAAGTCCATCAGATTGTGCAATGTGCCATTTATGAACGTTTTCACCATATACAATCTTTATAACCATACTCAGCAATATATATAAACCAGAATTTGCAAAAATAATCGACACATAGACATCATAGTAGCACCAAGAGGTGCCACTTGAATAATTAAATTATGTATCTTTTATAGCATTGCCGCATTGGCTACAACCAGAAGGAAACTATATATGTTCTAAATGAGGCTCCTATCGACTCTATATAAGTATCAAATGGAAGGCCCTGCAAACCTCAGATAACAGTCCATTTAAAGTTTGCAAAATTGCAACTGGTAAATGCTAAAGCACGAGTCTTTTTGTGGAAACTGTATATGGTTTATGTACTAAGGAGAATAATTTTATTCTCGACACTACTGGATTAGTCATCTTTGCAGTTAACATTTAACATCTTGCTTGGTAGAGAGGTATTGTATAAAGAAAAGAAAGGAAACAAGAACTTTCCGATGCTAATTTGAAAATTACTATACAGAAATTGGTAGAAAAGAAAAGGAACTGGTAGGAATGATCTTTTACACAACTTGCTTTCCTTTCATCCAAAATTAGGAAAATTAGGACAAAAGAAAATGGCTTAGGTTGTTTCATAATCATCCAAGTTCTCTGCAAAAAGCCAACAAGATAAAGAAGCTTTTCGATTCCTATTAATTAAACCAGTGTGCAATGCTTTAATCCTTCCTTTCCTCTCTTTCCCAAATCCCAACCTAATTGGAAGTAATTTTTACGATATGATTTCTGCCTTCCATGAAGCTTATAGAATTTGTTTTTTCATATTTCATGAACATTTACAACTTAAACCTTAAAAGTAATTAGGGTCACTGTCATCTGTCTCAGATAAATAAAAATAAATAATAAATAAATAAATAAAATAAATAAAACAAAAAAAAAAAACATGATGGCAATATTAACAAATATATGATATGGCATGCTAGCCAACATGAGCAACATTTAAAATAATACGAACCAGATGTAGATTTTCTGAAACTGCCAGAAAGACTTTGCCCAGTGGATGAGTCGATATCATTCTGTTGAATGCCTGAGTGATGTTAATCATAAAAATCATACATAAATCGAGATACATTGTCCAAAGCAGTAAATTATTGTTATTATGATAGTTCGACAGCACCAGAATCATTTTAAATGACTATATGAAGGAGCATAAAGCAAACATAATGCAGAAAAGTACAGCTACAACTGATGGAAGTTCATTGAATAGACTGCCTATAGTTTAGGAGCACATGTTTGTTAGGTTGCTAATTAAGTTGCAGAATGTGAGCCTTGTGAGGTGAATGGATTTAGTGGTTTAGTTTGTATATTAATCTACTAGATTAACTTCCGTGTGATGCGCGGATATAATAATAGAATTTATAATTGTGTAAACTTCAAAGACATACCAGTTAAAATATTTAAAATCTTTGTATTATATACAATATTATTAACGTAAATCAAATTGCAAAAATTAAAATAATATAAACAAAAGAAAATTCATGTCTACAATAAAATTTTGCGAACTTTGTAATTAGTTGGAGTAATCACACATATAAAAGATTGATATTTGTTTTCCTTAAGATTTTTAAAAGGTTTTTTTTTAAAAAAGAAAATCTTGAAAACTAAAAAGTTTAGTGTAAAGTATTAAACTACTTTGCAATCAGTATTTAGATTTTTTTTTTAATGAAAGGAAAAAAAAAAAGTTTAGGCGGGAAAAAAATGAATGAGAAGCTGTCACTTGTACAATTTGAAAAAAGTAATGATGTCAGCGATTGTTATTTTAGTAATATTTATAGATATGTGGGATTGTGGCCGTACTTGGGGCAGGGCAACCGGGGCCCAGGGCCCCAAATCAAAAGCCCAATTTGCTGTTGAACTGTAAAAGCCTTAATTAGTTTAGGTATAAAAATTAATTCCCGGATAAGTTAAACTAATTAACATAGTGGTTCACGGGTTAAGTTTTGTTTTGTACTACTTGTAATTTAGTTGTCTCGGGTTCGAAACCCCCTGATGTCATCACTGCCCACGTGTCGCTCATGCAATGATGATGTCATCTCTCTGACCTCCTACATTGAACTACGAATTAAACGATGAATTAAACTAATTATTCTTATACAAAATTTCTTACACTGTAATAAGATTTTAAGGTTTTTCTAAGCTATACCCCTTAGGTATTCGAGTTTCTAAGGTGTGCCCATGCTTTTTCAAGTTTCCAAGTTGTGCCCCTCAACTCACTACCATTAATGAATGGTACCCTCCTTGGTATTTCCACGTCACCTAAAGTTAACTATAAATTTAATAGAAAGATGATAAAAGGTAAGGAAATGCTAGGAGAAAGAAATCTTAGCCATCGCAACCCTAATAATGAAAAGTGAAGTCACGAAATCACACTCTCAAATAACTTTTAAACAACTAATAAGGGTACATTTTAGTATTGATAAGGAGTTGAATGGCACGGCTTAGACACTTGAAAAAGTATGGGTACACCTTAGAAACTCAAATACCTTAGGGGTATAGCTTAGAAAAACCCAAGATTTTATGATTAATATTTTTTTATTACATTATATTCACATTAATACTTCTTCTATTCTTTTTTCATCACTTACATAGTTGGGGGTTTCATGCTTGCTAATGCCAATGCACATTTTATATATAACTTAAATATCTTTGTATTTTACTAAAAAATATAAAAGTATATTTGTATATATAATCTTTTACAACCTATAAATCACAAAAGATGATTCAAGAGGTCTGTGATTAAGATAAAATTCGAAACGTTAGAATTTTTTATTTTTTATTTTTTTTAAAAAAATGGAGAAAATATAAGTTAAATAGCCTCAGAAAAAGTACTCTTCATTTGCAATCAATCTTTAGTGCTATCGCATGTATAATTAAATTTATAGGGCTCCTAACTATTAATTTGCCCATAGGCCTCACACAAGTCGGAAACGGCCCTTTGTGGGATTATGCTTCACTTGTTATAGAGCTTATAGCTGTGTTAGTTTAGCCTTTAGCCTATATAAAGCTTTTATTGTAGTTAGTTTTAAATGGAAATTATGGAATAAATGGAGAATCGTTCAACTTTTTTGCTCTTCTCTTATATTTATAGTTCAACATATATACAAACATTGTAAATATGAGATGGGATAAGCCAACTTGAGCAAAGCTACAATGGTCTCAGCTATAATAGTCCACCTTGTTGAATGCTGCGTCACTGGTAATTTGGGGCTTAGATTGTGTCCTATGACTATCTAAAATTAAACAAGGATAGAGTGGGGCCAAAATGATCAATTGACTCTTTGTTTTCTAATTCACAGAATGAGTCATGAACAAGTACGAACTTCTTTTAAAAAAAAAAGTTAGCTACTAGGTTTCAAAAAAAAAAAAAAAAAAAAAAAAAGTTAGCTACTAACCATAAGATTAATTTTAAAAAATCTCAGTTTTGGCCCATTTTTTACCTAAACTGTAGCAGAAACTTGAGTTTTTTTACCAATATGTCGCTGCAGATCTGTTTTTATCGCCTATAAGTTGCCTGCTTGTCACTTGCCTCTATATTTTTCCTACCTACTTGGTAATTTGAGCGATAGAGTGGTACAACAAATAGAAGCTACTAGTACATTAAATCAGCGATCTATATAGTAACATCTAAGGCCAGATTGATAGGCCTATGTGAACCAATCATTTTAGGTACATAAAATTTAGGTAGTGACTATCGCAGATCACAGCTTTCATCATATAAATACTACTATAGTACTAGTGGTAACATCAATCTTTATGTGTGTTTGTACCACCTGATTCTAATAAATGCAACAACTCAAAAATCTATATGAACAAAACCCAATCTCGATGTATACCCACTCACACCAATGTAGCTCCTAAGGCTTTAGAATCATTAATTATCAGTCTAGGATGAAGCAATTCTCACATCCCCCGTCCCAAATTTACAGGATGTGTTCGATTTTAGGCTGTCTCAATATGACAAGGTACTTTCTATTCTTAGTCTGTAAAAATTTAAATTCCCATATCACCATTCATATACCCTTACCTAAGAATTCTTAAACAAGACAACATTGATATGGAGAAGATGTAAGAAATTTGTAACAGTGAAAGATCATTATGACCTCAAATTAAAAGTGACCTGTTACTGAGGGATGGAGGCCGAAGGGTAAGGTATACTATGTATCAGTTTCAATCACAATTCACAGTGACATTCTCCCAAAGGGTGAAAATGATTTATATTATCATAACTCATGGAGTCATGAGAAATTGATGCCAAACTACCTAAGTAAACTTTTGGGGATGGCACCTAAGATTCTGGATCAAATTTTATCTACATCACTACCAATTAAGGCTCTCTAACCTCTTTCTCAAAAAAAAAAAAAAAAAAAAAAAAAGGCTCTCTAACCTCAAATCGAGGGTGAACACTGAATTTTAACCTTGAACGTGAGGCGGTAACTAGCCTTACTGCCCCTAAAATACCAGAAATGCAGGCCAAACTCACAGATAATCCAACACAAATTCATGCCAATTTTCAAATCCAGTTATCCAGGGTTCTCAAACCGATATCATCAATCTCTACAAAATTTACTCTCTATCAAATAGACGCCATATTCTAAATTTTCCTCACCTTAAAGCTGTTCCTCAAAACATACAAAGCCTTAAACCCTTACTACATTGAAACAAAAATTCAACACGATGCTCATAAGATTACTTAAAAAGAATCATGTAAATTTCTTAATTTCATTTCTGCTCATTTTCAGTAATTTAGTGCTCAATATAATGCAGTAATGCTTAACTGACGATAAACACTGAAACAATCTTACCACTTGGATTTTTGTCAAACAAATGATATAATTTATATTTAGAATGAGAAAATATCAAACTCACCTAATCTCATTGCTTATTTCCAACAAAATTAGCTTCAAGGAGGAGGTATAACAGCAACTCTAATGCCACAAATCCCTGCATTGTATACCAAAATTTCCCATGTCAGAATTTCTTATTTCAACCGGATCAAATCTCGTCTACATTATTAACACGTCACAGAACCTTATCAGTTATCACATTAAATCCATTCCTAAAACATAAAATTAGGAAAGAAAACTTACTAAAAATTGCAGCTTTCGATTTGGAAATTAGGACCACCAACATCTAAATGCATGAAAAATGTAAGGTATATATGAAAAATTAAAAACACCCTTTACTTAAAATCAACCTGAAGCTATTCCCCAATTATTATTATTTTTTTTTGACAAAAGCTATTCCCCAATTAAAATCTAAGAAAAACCCAGATTTTTTTTTATGGGTTTTCAACTTTTTTTTTTTTACAATTTTTATTTGTATTTTTCTAGATTTTTAAGTGAAGTAACTCAGTGTATGAAAAAAGGGGGAATTTTGAGAATTCCTAAAACCCAGAAAAAATGAATAATTAAAGAAGGAAAAAAACAAGAACACACATGTAAGATACTACTTATTTCAACACCATTATGACAGACATCTCGTGCTCTTCAAAAAGGGAATTGTTGATTAAATAAAAAAAAAAAAACACATACCCAAGAAAATTAATTAAATAAAATTAATACGTAACATATTGTATTTTCTTGATTTTTTCAAGGAAAAAAATAGAAAAAAAAATTAAGAATAGAAGCAATATAACGAGAAAATAAAAGCTGTTGTGCCATACTAAAAGCTGAAAGTGGTCGGTTCCAGCAAAGCATTGACTGTAGGGCCCACTGAAAATGATTTGACTTTACTCTTCTTTTCTTGTTGATTTTGGCGCGTAATTTTCACGCTAACGTAATTTTGTATGGTACTCGTATTAAGAATTGGAAAATCTTGTACCAATTGAATGTTGGTATAATCGTATAGTGGTGATTTAGACTACACTTGGTAGGGGAGTAAGGCCATGTTCTTTTGAGCTTCTGGGCAGAGCAGAGCAGATTTCAGCAGAACAAAGCAGAGCAGATTTCAGCAGAGCAGAGCTGAGCCGAGCAGATTTTATTATTATTATTATTATTAGGGTTTTTTGTCAAAAAATACCTAATAAAATCCATATTTTGCAAGAAACTACCTGATAAAAAATGTTGTAATAAACTACCTAATAAAGGTAAAATGATGTAAAAAACAACATAAGAAAAGGTAAAATGTTGTAAAATACTACCTATACCGAATTTTCACCGTTGATCGGTCTCAAAACACTACCAAAACCACCGCTTTCATTCTCAAAATTAACACAACTTGCTTGAAATTGTCTCCACCACATCTAAAGCACCTTTCAACCCCAAAACCACCACCTCTAACCCTAAAAACCACTATCCCGAAGCACTAATCTACCCTCACCAACTCGAAATATCCTCCAACCACCTCGAAAATAACCTTACCACCTTGAAAACCAACCCTAACGGTGGTTTTGGGGGTGTTCTAACGTGGATCAACATCCTAAAATTAAGTCAACTGTGGAATTTCGGTCAAAGGTAGTATATTACAACATTTATCTTTTATTAGATAGTTTCTTACAACATTTTTTTTATTAGGTAGTTTCTCACAAAATGTCCTTATTATTATTATTATTATTATTATTATTATTATTGTTGTTGTTGTTGTTATTGTTATTAATATTATTGTTATTATTATTATTGTTATTATTATTATTATATTATTATTACTAGTACTACTACTACTACTAATATTATCTCATTATTATTATAATCATTAAATTTTTAAAGTTAAACATTAATTATTATTATTATTATATTAATTATAATTATTATTATATTAATTATAATTATAATTATTAAATATTATTTAATTATTATTATTATTAAAAATTAATAATTAGTATTATCTTTAAATATTAGTTATTATCTTAATATTAATTGTTATTATAAAAATCAATTATTGTTATTATAATTAGTATTATTAGTTATAAGTATTATTATTACTATTAGTATAATTACTATTATTATTACTATTATTATTATTAAATATTAATATTATTATTACTATTATTATTAATTATTAATAATTTATTATTTTTTATTAATAATAAATATTAATAATTAATTATTATTATTATTTTAATTAAATATCAATAATTAATTATTGTTATTAATATTATTAAGTATTAATTATTATTATTATTAAATATTATTTATTTATTATTATTATTATTAAATATGAATTATTATTATTATTAAATATTAATTATTTATTATTATTATTAATTATTAATTATTATTATAATAATTCAATATTAAGTATTAATTTTAAGCAGAGCATAGAAGGCAGGGCAGAGCAGAGCTGATTGAAGCAGAGCAGAGCATATTTCAGCAGAGCAGAGCAAAGTAGCTCTAAAGAACGGGGCCTAAAGACTAAATACAGTGCCTCAATTATTGTATTAGGGTAAGTTTTAGTTCCTCTAAACTTTTTTGTACTCATTTTAGTCCCTCCCCCACCTTGAATGGTGTTTTCCAGCCAAAAGTTGAGGGGACCATGACTCTTTTTTTTTTCTCTTTTTTTTTCATCAGAATTTTATTTAAAATTCCCAAAACACCCCATTAATAATTTTTTAAAACAAACAAAAACAAAAAAAAAATTCCTTTACTTTTTGCAGAATTTTATTTTTTCTTCAAAAACATTAAAAATGAAAATTCCTGTATTCTTACTTTAAAATTAAAAAAAAAACCATGTAATTCAACTCATTCCTCCTCTTCCTTTAATTTTTATCATTTGTTCTTCTCACTAAATCTAATTCAATAAGAAAACCCAGAAAATCTAAAACATTAAGAAAATGAAAAAGAAAAACCCACCCCATCCGCCGGTCTCCAAGTCCTCCCGCGACGGCGAGATACATCCCGACACCCCCTCGTTCGCTGCTGCTCCTGCTATTCCTGCTGCCTCACCACCAAAACCCGCCCTCCACAACCAGCCAAAACCCCAACGACATTACACAAATTAATCTGATTCGAACCAAAGTCAAACACGGGCAGCAGGAGCAGCAACGAACGAGGGGACAATTAGAGGGTTTGAAGAGGTTTTCGACTGTTTTGAGGGGGTTTTTCGGCGGTTTTTGACGATTTTTGGGGGGTTACCAGCGATTTCTAGGTGGTGGCTGCGGTGGATTTGGGGGTGGGATTTGGTTCAGGTGGTGATTTCGAGGGTGATTTTAGGTCGGCGGGGTGGTTTTTGGTATTGGGGGTTCCATGGCTGGCCATTTTCAAGGCTTTAGGGTGGCTGCCGGCCGGTTTTGGTGGGGCTAGGGTAAGGAAGAGGGTTTCACGGTGGATAGGGGTGGCTGGTATGTGTTCGATCCTCGTAACAATAATTGGAAAAGGACTGGAACTAACCACCTAAAACTGATCTCAAATTCAGATTAGCCCAGCAGATGAACTGGGTAGAACACCAAAAAAATAAAAAATAAAAAATGAAAAATGAAAAATCATGTGAATTTGAAAATGGGAGGTTTGTTTGGTTGGGCAAAAAAAGTGCAAATAATGTAAAGTGGAAATGTAGGAATTGCAAATTCATGGGTTACAAAACTACATTAGCATGATTTTGATTTTTTCCCTAGTTATATGTACCATACCATTCTTAAACCTAAAGTAACAATTACCCTTACCCTACTCAAATAAAAAGAGAGGAAGTTATGTTTAAGTAATTCTTTTATATGGATAAACCAAACACATGAAAAAGGGTAGGGGTTCAAAGATTCATTTCAGCTTTTTTATTTGTTTCATTTCCACTCCATTTTCCAATATTCATATCAATGTCCCCTTAATATTTACTCCATTTTTCTTACATGAGCTTAACAAAACATATTCAACAGTATTAAGTATTTAATGATAAATCCTCTTTGGGCGTGGTTGTAAGGATATGTGCTATGTGAACATAGCTCCGGTTGGGATGTCGACCTTGTGAATATTTCACCTAGCAAATTCTTTATTAACGTTGACTATTCTCTAGCGTTCACCAAATGCTGACATATGTGATCCTACCTTAGTATCTAGGTTTTAGACCAAAGTGACCAAATCTCTGTAAATCGTAATGGTCTAGAGCAACCTACCTTTAGCCCTCCGAAAACCTTCCAGACAAGTGATCATCTTTGCATGTAGTGCTAACTGTGCCAAACCATGACAAACACCTCCCAAAAGACCTTAAATCTGATTAGTGAGTAATGTTAAATTAATCAAAATCTTTAATTGAGGAGCCATTAATAAATGAATTGTGGTTGTATGTGTTTAATTGATAGTTAGTAGAGCATGCTAGGTTTAGAATTTTGATAGACTATATGTATTTAGTTTTGCTGGTTGTATGCTTTTGTGAGCGCAATGCTTTCTATTGGTCATGACCTTTGCTTTCTATGACCTTGTGATGATCTAATTATTGAATATGTATTATTGAGTGGTAGTATTGCACATGTTTGCATTCTTGACGATGTGAATTTTAGGGTTTCGACTACACATTATTATCAAAGGTATGGTGTTTTTTTTTAGTATTCATGTACTGAACTATTCTATGATTCTTTGTTATTAACTTAATTTGGAGTAAGTAATAGACCAAGGTTGTTTATCGGTGGTGGTGGGGAGAAGGGTTAATAATAATATTAAGAGAAGGGAGAGGGTTTTCGTAGTAGTGTTTACTTGTGGTGGGGGAGGGGAGGGGAGGACCGGAGAAGAGTAGTTGTTGATGGCTGGTGAAGGGAGGGATCAAAGATTGTTTATGGTAATGATGAAGGGGATCGGAGGGAAATGGGTGGTCGGCGGTGGAAGGTGGATGGTGGTGGAGGGGAAGGTAGTAAGGCAAGAGTTAGGGTATTATTTACAAAAAATTAATGATAATTAAAATTTAATTTTTATTCAAGTGATGACACGTGGTTAGAAAATCGACTACAACAAGTTTATGATTACTTATTGGGTGAAAAAGTGAATTCCCCTATAAAATTCTAATAATATAAAAAATTGATGTTTTTTGGGATAAATAATATAAGAGAATTGACCAAATTTAAGATTAATAAAAGCAGGTTTAACAAATTGTTTTTATTAATAATGTAATTAAAGAAATTTAATTTAATGATAAAATTATTATATTGGAGACTTTTTAAATAATTTCTAGTATACGATAGTAAATTTGGGAGGGAAGAAAAAGAAGAATAATACTCTCTTTCCTCTCTTCTCTCTCTAAAACCCTAGCCTCCATTGTTGATTTTTGAAGGGGCTTCCACCCGGATTTACCGGTGGAAAGCCCCAATCGTTGTTTCTTTTATACCTTTTCTCTTGTTTTAGGTTTATAATAACTCTTCCTTTTCTAGGAGGAATATTTCTCCCTCGAAAGACATGGTTTTTCTTCCTCTCTAGGAGGATTTGGCTCCTTCGAAAGACCGGGTTTTTCTTCTCTCTTTTGAGGGAGGATTTGCTTTTTTATTTCATGGATTTCTATAGAGTTGTTTCTGAAAGGAATGGTGTCCTTCGAACAAGTGTACTATTCCGTTAGTGGGTTCAGAATTATTAGAAAGCTAATATATTCAGTGAGGTCAAGTGATCGGAATGCCTGGGTGGAGGCCGCTTCCGATCAGTAATATTAATGAATAATTAATATTACAGCTTAATCTTGACTGAACCCTTCGGGTCACACCCAAGCATTCAACAAACCAAAACGACGAATTAATTCGGAAGGAATTAATGAGTAGACCAAGTAATATTTATTTAGACATCGGAAATTCGAGCTTAGAGCGTCGAAACCGAGCGTCGGAAGTCGAGTCGAAAAATAGTGAAAGACGAGACGAGAAATAGTAATA